AAAAAAAAAACAGTGTCACAATAACACCTTTATTCAGCATTTATTAACTTTTTTAACATATGCATGAGTGTTTGTTGCTTTACTCTTGTAAGTACATAAAAAACATTCTAATGTTTAAAAGTTTGGGGCTGGTAAGATTATTAAAATGTTTTTTAAGAAATCTCTTAAAAGAACTGTTTTCTATCTTTTAAGAAATTAAAACATTTTAAGAAATGCTGATTTGGTGCTCAAGAAACATTTCCTATGACTATCGATGTTGAAAATTGCTTAATATTTTTGTGGAAACTGTGATCATTCAGGATTCTTAGATGAATCGAAAGTTCAAAAGAACAGCGTTCATTTAAAATAGAAATATTTTGTAACATTATAAAAGAAAAAAAAAAAAAACAACTGGCCCCAAACAGTAGTGTAGGTAATAATAATAATAAGAATATTTTTTTCCTTTTTTAATAGTGTTCTTACCTCTAGGGCAGTGAGGAAATGAATGGCCTCTGGTAATGTCACAAGCCGGTTCTTGTTCAAAACCAGCTTTTTCAATTTTCCACACCTGAGCAAATCATAAAGCCACATATTATTATCATCATCGATATCATATACATTGGTTTTATAAATGATGTCAAACTACCAATAAACTGTGTCAGTTCTCACCTGCAAAGCCCCTCTGGAACAAGCTCCAAATTATTATTTGCAGCCATGAACTCAACCAGGTTGGACAATTTCCCCACACCAGATGGAAGCCCATCAAAATCCATTTTGTTCGAGTTCACATACAGCTTCTTCAGCTTAGACAGCTTGCAAATGGCAGACTGCATATCACATCAAACAGGGGGAAAAAAGAGACAAGATTAGCAACACGTCATCAAATATATCAACGTAAGATGAATGACAATACTATTAATGTGAGGAATCATTATCTCCTGCACATGCACAAATGCCCACTTTCAAAGCCAAACAACATCTGATAAGTGCTACGTTCCTCTGTTTTACTTTTTATGGCAATGAGGGACTTACAGGCAGGGATGTGAGCTGATTCCTAGAAAGGTTGAGCGTCTCGAGTTTGGTCCACTGATCTATGCACAGTGACAGTTCAGATATCTGATTGCTGCTCAGATTTAGCCGTTTGAGATTAGTCAGCGAATACAAGCATTCTGGTACCCGAGACAGATCATTGCAGGACAGGTCCACGTCTACACAGAGACACACAAGATTCATTATACATAGAGCAACAGCAATTACTGATATAGACACTGATGACTGTTTTACAGAGAGCAAAGTAACACCCCTGGATCTCTACCTGCTAGGTTGGTGAGGCCCTCCAGACTCGTGGGCATATTATTTTGAGTACGCTGAGTGTTCCTTAAATGAAGGGTTTGAAGGGCCACCATAGCAGGTAACTGCCTGTTACGACAGAGTTTATCAGAGGCAATGCTGATAACACAATGAGGTCATCTGAAATGAATGTAGCCTTCCTCCTATATGGCAGTGTACATAGATGGAAATAAAACAAATCATAAAAACCATCTGTCTTACCTCAGCTGTGCGTGCATGAGTGGATTATTATTGAGTATGAGGGTCTGCAAATGGACCAAGCGTCTCATCTGAGGCGGCAGACTGTCTAAAGTATTGTCACTTAGGTCCAGGTACAGCAGATCAGTGAGGTTAATGAACAGCTGATTTGGTATGTTATCAATGCTGCGAGAAAGAGCAAACATCAGAGATGAGTGTATCAGATTACATTTGTGATCACAGAAATCCACGGTTGAAATCATTATGACAACCCCCCCCCTACAAAAGGATGTAGAAAAGTCATGTAAATATCCCACTGGCATTTTTATATTAAACAAACATTTTTTTAGTCATGTCAAGCTCTAAAAATTTTTATCATGTAGAAATTGTGGGTTAAAATATTTTCAAAAATCATTATCATTGATTTTTATCCAGTAAATCACAAACACTTAGAAATGTCATGGGGCCTTCAGATACAGTTGTGGACAAAGTGGGGGCCTTGGAGGTGAAAAGGTTGAGAACCTTTCGTTTTTGAGAACCATTGGGTTTTCAGCATCTTGTGGCATGTGCATAGCATTTCTAAGATGGTGTGTGAAGTTAAAAATAGTTTTAAAAGCATGTGTCAAGATCCCTGCGTTCTTTTCCACTCCTTCAGTAACACTCAGTCTAGCTATTACTGGGCACAAAAATGCATCCTTTGAGTAGGCCACCCAAATCATCCTCTTAAGATATTATCCAAAATACCATAATAACAGATCAAAATATACAACAACAAACAAAAAAATTAATAAATGTGTGTTTTCATGAGTGATGATTATTCCTCACTTCCAAGAACTTGGACCATACCTATTGTGACTGAGGTTTAAGACCAACATGTTTCTGGAGTTCTCCAAATCCCGAGGGATTTCTGTTAGTTGGTTGTAGCTCAGATCCTGAACAGAAGAGGGAAGAACACATCTAAACACACATATATTTTACCATAATACAGCACATAATCAATGACAAATTCACATAGTTTCACTAATCAAGACACAGACCTGATTACATAAAATTAAATAATTTTGCACTTAACCAAGATATATACTTCATCCACCCAAGAGAGAAATAAACAAAGTAATTCTCCACATACCAGCACAGAAAGATCATCCAGCTGAAAAATATCATCAGGAACACCAGAGTTCTTTAGGTTGTTTGCTCTGGCCACAACCGCCTACAGCGAAACAACAAGGGCAGATTAAACGCTGGTCTGAGCATTGAAAATAAATACAGTAAAATTGTGGAAAATAATGCTGTGATAATTCAAAATACAGTTCAAAAATTTGGGGTCAGTAAGATTTTGTAACATTTTTGAAAGACGCATTATGCTCACCAAGGCTACATTTATTTGACCAAAAACAGTTAAATATTTTACATTAGATAGATAAATATATTATATTTTACATAATATATTTGATAAAATATATATTTTTTCATTTGTAATTTATTCTTGCGATTGCAAAATTGAATTGCTCCATTACTCCAGTCTTCAGGGTCAAATGATCCTTCAGAAATCATTCCAATATGTTGATTTAGTGCTCACGAACATTTGTATTATTATCATCAGTAGTAACAACACTGTACCATGATATACTTTTCATGATTCTTTGATTAAAAGAAAGTCCAAAATAACAGCTTTTATTTCAAATGTAATACTTTGAAACATTCAACAAAACATTCATAGAAATATTTTGTAATATTATAAATGCCCTTACTGGCACTTTTAATGCATCCTGGCTGAATAAAAGTATTAACATCTTTCAAAAAACAACAACAACAAAAACTTCTGACCCCAAACTTTTGAAAGGTAGTGTATGTAAACAGTTACATTAATATATATATATACTTATGTGAAAAGTAGGCAGAGGAACATGTGATTGACAGTATTATGAAATATTTCACATTACCCTCAGGTTGGGAAGACTTGACAACTCTCCATGCAGCGTCGTCAGGCTGTTGTGACTCACGGACAAATGCTCCTGATTTCACACAAAAGAGCAAAAGAGGCCCAAGAATGAGCATTGACAGTCTAACTGCAAAATATGAAATTGTGACTCAGTGCTGCAATTGACAATCACCAGTTTCTGCAGGGAGGACAGTTCCTCTGGAAGATAGCAAAGCCCCGTTCTGTTGAGCTTCAGCCATCGCAAGCTGGTCATAGACTTGACATGCTCTGGAAAATAACCCCCCTGCGTTCAACAGAAGAGACAAAAGCATTACAGTCTCAAATCTGACCATCATGAGTCATACAAGTCGGTTTCTGTGTCAGTGATTTGACAGTTTTTGATGGATCTGCTACACTCATGTCATTTTCCAAACAGTCCTACAGGCTTCAGTCTCAACCTAAATCAAGCTAAACCTGGTGCAATGATGTCAGTTCAAAAACTCAGAGATTATGGGGTGTGTTTGCTATAGCAACAACGTGAGCCAGAGCTAGAAAACTTGCACGCTGTTCACAGTCATCTCGAGATGAGCAGATCTGACTGAAGTGGCTTTACATAAGACAGACTCACAGAGCATCAGCACAAATGTACTCAAGTGAACTGACACACTTGAGAGCTTGTGTAATACTGCTTAAGGAACTCATGTTTTATTCTGCATTTAACATACTTAAAAAACAATCTTATTTTTCATACACATGATACCGTGTGTTGGACTCTCTAACTAACGTTAGTCTAAAAGTAGCTCCAACATGTTTTGAAAGCCCATGTCAGCAGCGCAGTTCATTTATCGAGGCCAGACGCATTACAAAAGCGTCAACCAACACATCTGACTCGCTAACAGACTTCCAGTTATTTCCTTGCTGTCACAGTTTGACTGACCGCGACACATTTTGACAAGTCGCGAGCTAACGCCCAGTGTTCTTCTGAGCTAGCAGAGTTAGCACTGCTAGCTCACTATCTCGACCTGTTTTGACACGCTGACTAACCTACATCACTTTCCTCGCTTGAGCGAATGATTTGTTTACAATACCCCGTACATATAGACGTATTAAAGCAGAACTTTTACCTTAAAGTCATTCCCACTTAGGTCTACTCCCCTGATAAAGGGGAGAACTCCGGTCGCGGCCATGTCTAACTCAGGATATGGCAGCAGTCTATTTCTGTTTGGCAGCGGCTGCTGGAGGAGCAAACACACTCCCCCGCTCACATAGTACAGCCCACTAACTGTTAAGCGTTACCAGCCACTCACAAAAAAAAGTTCTTTCTGTTTCAATAAAATAATAACTGTTAGTTAAACCCGCCCGTGATAAGCTACACCCTGCTGCAGTTGACTCAGAACTGATTCTTTGATGAATCATTTGCAGTGCCATAGACACACTGACAGGGCCTGAGACAAAAATATGATGGGTTGACTGCCTGCCTCCCTTGGGATAATGGGCCCCCCTCGTCCTAGGGCCCATCATAACATTCCCAGTTCAACCTCGACTCCAGCACTGGTCATTTTTGGGATTTGTTTTAGCATTTTATGCTACCGAGTCCAGTCCATATAACATTTACATTATATGGATGCATTTAGCAAACACGAATACAAAGCAACTTTAAAAAAGAGGAACGAAATTCCTCAACAATATATACTTACAGATGTAAATGCCTAATGTATATAAACTACACATACAGCATGTTAACATATTTACCATAAGACTAACAATATAATTTTTTTTGCATAAAATACATATTGTTCATTAGTAGGCCTATTACTCACTACTCACTTTAAAACTTACTGTAATGATACAATAATATAAAAAGTGACCAATTATGGTATTTAGAATGCATTATTAATAACCTTTTCTGATAAACCTTTTAGTTCAGCATTTTACATGTAGTATACAGTAAATGTCAGACTGTGTAACACTACCGTAGGTCATGCAATATGTAAACAATTTACTCATCATGAGAATAAATGACGACACAAAATAAGTAATGTTTTACTAAAAATCCCTTTATTTTACACAATACAATTTATTATACACGTAAAAATAATTAAACATATGATAAGATTAATTTCATTTACAGATATTTTTCATTTTACAAAAATTGCAGGAACCTTTTTTTTTTTCATCTGCCCTGTGGACAGGTGACCCGTGTGTGACCCGGCTCATGACATATTCCACAGGTTCTCGGCCTTTTGGCAGTGGGAGGTTTGTTTGAGGTAGCGCTGGCCTTTTTGTTCCCAGGAGGTCTGGCACCATTTCCTCCAGAGAAAACTGTGGCTAAAAAGTGACAGGAAATGGAAATTATTAGCAAAAAAGACAACATTGGAGAAATTATTGGCAACTGAAATATTTACATTTCTTTGAAACCATATAAAACAATGCTTAACTGTTGTTTTCTTCCTCCACAAAATGTAGCATTTGGAACATACCTGATGTTTAATATGTGGTCTAGATTTTGCAGCACAAACCGACATGACTGACAAAATGTCTCAAAAAATGTCGCACTCGATTTAAATGATAATTTATTCTTGTGATGGCAAACTGAATTTTCAGCATAATTATTCCAGTCTTTAGTATCACGTGCTCCTTCAGAAATCATTCTCATATGCTAATTTGATGCTCAAGATCAATTGTCTTATTAATAGAAAGCTTAAAAACACAATATATTTGAAATAGAAATCTTTCCTAACATAAATGTCTTTGCAGTCAAACTTTTTGATCAATTCCTTGCTGAATAAAAGTATGAATTTATTTTTAAAAAAAAATGTTACTGACCCTAAACATCTGAACAGCAGTCTATGTATGAATGATCCTATTCAACATATTCTGATCATATTTTGCAATATACAATTTTCAGTGCAAAACATTATACCTGGAGCCACATTTTCGTTCGCCCACTGGAAGAACCCACACTGCTGATCACGTGGTTTCCCGCAGGTGTGGAACATTCGCCCCTTGTTTGGCCCATCTTTCATGACGGTCCTGGTCACTGCAGGCTCATTACAGTTGCACATAGTTTCACCATCATCACCTCCAGATCCTCTGTTGTTTTGTCTCTGCTGAGGTACGTTCCCAAAGCCAATTGAGGGCCTGGGAGGTTGGGAATTCTGACTCAGGGGTCCACTGCTCCCTCCGGGCGCTGCCTGCTCAGCCGGCTGATCAGCCCACAGGAAGAACTTACAGTCTCCTGTGGTACACTTGTAGAACTGACGGCCTTGATTGGGACCCTCTTTGCGAACAGTGAGAAGAATGGCATCCTGACCACAGTTACACACAATGGCACCACCCTGGGCTGAAGCTGGTGGTTGTGTTGCCCGTGGAGGTGGCAGACTGGCTCTGGGTGCTGGAGGTGTGACCCTGGATGGAGGTGCTGAGTTGGTTCTAGGTACATGATGCTGATTTGATCCAGAGCCGTTATGTGCCTGAGAGCCAGAATCTGCTACTCCTCCTCGGATGTATTTCAAGTTTAAGACCTCTCTGAGAGTCTCATCACATCCTCCAATGCATCCAACAAATTCAAGGGGCATCATAGGTGGCAAACTTCCCCTCTTGAATTTAAGCTTCAGCCTGTCAAGGATTTTATGAATAAAACCAAAACATTATTTAAAATGACCATATTTACTTTGTTAATTCACCCTTATTGTCCATTATTTTTTTAGTGCAAGTTTGTTCACATTAGTTAATACAGTAGAAATCATAAACTAACAAATGAACACATTTTTTTTAAAGGGGTCATATGATGCTTTTTTAAAGATCATTATTTGGTGTAACAGAATATGTTGACATGCTTTAATGTTCAAAAAACACATTATTTTTCAAATACTGTACATTATTGTAGGTCCTCTATGCCACGCCTCTCTCAAACGCTTCGTTTTCTACAAAGTCCCTCCTTCCGACAAGCGCAGTCTGCTCTGATTGGCCAGCTGACCCAGTGCATTGTGACTGGCCAAACACCACAAGCACTCGTCTGAAATATAACGTCCCTTACCATAATCGCGAGTTTCATCTTTCAAAATAAATGTAAAGACAGAGCCCGAAAGGTGAACAGAGTCGAGTGACAGACAGTGATGAATATGTGTTTGCAGTACACAAGCCACAGTTAAGACAGCCTAAATGCATCTACTTCTGGAAGGCCAAATAAAGTGCTTTTGCTTTCGGCTAGAAACACACAGCGTCTCCCTGACACGCTGCTTCAACACTAACTGCGGATACTGAAACCACGCCTTCTTTCTTTGCGTGCACATTTGGGCGGCATTATGCAAATATTTCCACATAGTGAGGTAGACATGTGGGGGCGTGTTAGAACGAGCCGTTTTAGGGGGGCGTGGCAGAGTCTTAACTTTGATAAAGAATATCCCTTTGGTTTTGAGACTTTAGTCTTTGCAACTTCAGGGATCTTATCTATGCAGAATCAGCTTGTAACACTCCAAAGAGAAAGGAAAACTTGAAATCGCATCATATGACCCCTTTAACATTTATTAATCTAAGTTAATGTTAATTTACAAATATATTGATGTATGTTGATAATCCATGTTCGTTCATAGTACCAAAAAATGATTTTACAATTTAAGTTAATTTACACAATTAATATAGATAGAAATAAATATTAAATGCTGTATAAGTATTATTCAATGTTTTTTTTTCATATTAGCTACTGCATAAACTAACGCTAACATATAAAAGCTTATTGTAAAAATTTTACCAAAAATACAACCCTTATTGTCCATGATTTTTTAAATAATAAAATACAGTAAAAACAGTAATATCGTGAAATATTATTACCATTTAAAATAACTGGTTTCTATTTTCATATATTTTAAAATGTAATTCATTTCTGTGATGACAAAGCAGATTTCAAATCAGCAAGACTTTCAGAAATCATTAGATACGATTTTTGTGGAAACAGTGATACATCAGGGTTCTCTGATAAATAGAAAGTTCAAAAGAACAGCACTTATTTAAAAAATAACTTTTTGTAACATTGTGAATGTCTTTACTGTCACTTTTGATCAATTTAGTGAATCCCTGCTGAATAAAAGTACTAAAGGTGCACTAAGCGATTTTTGCCAAACGATGTTGATATTTGAAAGCACCAAAACAAACACGCCCATACACCAACAGGACCTCGCCCTTATTTTGAAATCTCCGCCCCATACGAATGTACACAACCATGGCAACGACGATCATGGAAACAAGCGAAGATGAAACACAAGCATATTCAAACAAAAGCCAACACACCTATCAAGAAGAAAAAAACAACACAACCTCGGCGTCCGATTCGAGCCCTTCCCGCTCCTTGAGTTTCTCTCCACCGATGGAAAGCTGCTCCGATATTTACTTGCCTGATCGTAACTAAGGCTGCACGATACTGGAAAAATCTCACACTGCGATATTTTTTTTCTTAGAGACTTCAATAGCTCTATTTGGAAAAAAACGTATCTATGATTCCGCTATTATTTACTTCCGTGGAGATTTCAAAATAAGGGCGAGGTCCTGTTGGGGTATGGACGTGTTTGTTTTGGTGCTTTCAAATATCAACATCGTTTGGCAAAAATCGCTCAAAAAAATCTCAAAGTGGGCAGAGCCGGCTGCCGCCATCTTGGCAGCGCGTCACTCCCGGATAATTGAAAATGGGCAAAAAGGCGGGAGCTGGTTGCTGAAGCCACGCCCACCTAGCTTTACGGTTGTGACAGCAGCAGCAATCCACCTGTCACTCAAGTGGCCACACCCTTAATTATGCAGAACTTTAAGGCTTAATATAATTTAAACGGATGACTTATAAAAAAAAATTCACCCCCCTCACAGTTGTCAAGAAGGGCAAAATTAGCTGTATATGACCAAAATAATTTTTTGAACCAGGTTGTAAACATGTTTTTTTCTGCTGTAAAATTGGGCATTTTAACATGGGGAGTCTATGGGACTGACTACCTTTTGCAGCCAGCCTCTAGCGGCCAGTTGACGAATTACAGTTTAAGTCACTTCCGTGTTGGCTTCACGAGAGAGAGCGAGAGGTTGCCGCTTGGTCTACACCGGACGCGACGCGACAAAATACTATAGAACCCATTTTAATCAGTGCTGTGTGACTGACTACACTAGATGCGGCGCGACACGACAAATCCCCGACATTAAACTGATGCCTCGTTTATGACGTACTGACACAAAGTTCAAATGATAAGCAACAGTCACTTTGTCGCGACCGGTGTAGACAGACTTTGG